TGTGTGAGACTAAGAAAAACGATGACTAAGAAGAGTAACCAGAATGAGGAAGAGTTCATCTTCGGCGAACCGACTCAGAACACGAAGATACGTTTTGAAGATGCTGATGAAGACGACGACGAAGTTGCAGAAGGCTCCGGTTTTGCCGCCGCCCAAGATGAATCCATGTGCGACGCCGCGGATGCCTCTGAAGTAACCGATGATACCACCAGCGCCGATTACTACTTCGATTCCTACTCTCACTTCGGTAATTCCCTCTTCTTCACTTCAGTTTCATGTTTTTGGAAGTTGAGATTTTCCTAGTATTAGATTGGAGAAGAAACTGTTCTCTTTGGTTATCAAATTCTGAATTTGGATCGTCTCTCTGCTAATTGTTGACTCTGTTTCCACTTGTATCTATTTTGCAGGTATTCATGAAGTAAGTATACGTTTCGACGAAGAGCCATCTTCTTTTACCAGCTGTTTTTCGATTTCTTGAACCAAAGAAGTAGTTCAATGTGTTTCTTTTGTATTTATCTGATGATTGATATTTCGAGCATTGTAATCTTACAGGAAATGTTAAAGGATGTAGTGAGAACAAAGACTTATCAGAATGTTATTAACCAAAACAAGTTTCTTATCAAGGACAAAATTGTTCTTGATGTTGGAGCTGGTACTGGAATCTTGTCTTTGTTCTGTGCCAAGGCAGGAGCAGCTCATGTTTACGCAGTATGTCTTCATTTGTTTCTGTTTTTATTTTTCTTGTTTTCACTCTGTATGATTTGATTGAAGATGTTTGGTTGCTTAATAGGTTGAATGTTCTCAAATGGCTGACATGGCAAAGGAGATTGTTAAAGCAAATGGATTTTCTGATGGTAAGCTTTTATGTTCTCCTTGTTGTTTTTTTTTTAATCTATTTTGAATTGTTTTGAGATGAGAAACATTTGTTCTTTAATCGCTTGACGATTCTTGTATTATCGTTGCAGTTATAACAGTTTTGAAAGGGAAGATCGAGGAGATAGAGCTTCCCGTTCCTAAAGTGGATGTGATTATTTCTGAATGGATGGGTTACTTTTTGTTGTTTGAAAATATGTTGGACAGTGTCTTATACGCTCGCAATAAATGGCTTGTAAGTTACAGCTCCGAGAACAATTAACTGTTGTTATAAGCATTTCTCTGGAATAACTGTGGAAACGTCTGGGTACTTTGGTTTTATTGATAGGTTGATGATGGAGTTGTGCTACCAGACAAAGCCTCCCTGCATCTTACAGCCATAGAGGATTCAGAGTATAAAGAAGACAAAATAGAATGTGAGTGCTTCGACCTGACATCTTCTCTCTTTTTCCAACAATCATCATGATATGTGTTGAGACTTGAGACTTGCCCTGTCAATTGCTTATTGTATTTTCTACTGCAGTTTGGGACAGTGTTTATGGTTTTGACATGTCATGCATCAAGAAAAAAGCTATGATGGAACCGCTTGTTGACACAGTCGACCAAAACCAAATTGTTACTGATAGTAGGCTACTTAAGGTAAGATCACACACATAACAATGTTTAGTAGTATCTCTTTCCCCGTGGCTAATGCTCATTTCATTTAAATTTTGGGGTTTCTAACAGACCATGGATATCACAAAGATGTCTTCTGGTGATGCTTCCTTCACTGCTCCCTTTAAACTTGTTGCACAACGCAATGACTACATCCATGCCCTTGTAGCCTATTTCGATGTATCGTTTACCATGTGCCACAAGCTGCTGGGTTTCTCAACAGGTTCAGTTCTCTGCAATTTCTTGCTAGTTCTGATTATTCATGTGTTTTATTATATGCAAAGGAATGGACATGTTATTGGATCACTTGGTTTAACACAGACACAGATAGTTTCGTTATTGTTTGGAACCTACACTGAATGATCACGATGTGAAATGCAGGACCAAAATCCCGGGCTACACACTGGAAACAAACCGTCCTGTACCTGGAAGATGTGTTAACCATATGTGAGGGTGAGACAATCACTGGAAGCATGTCGGTTTCTCCTAACAAGAAGAATCCTCGAGACATTGACATCAAGCTGAACTATTCTTTGAATGGCCAGCATTGCAAAGTCTCAAGGACTCAACACTACAGAATGCGTTGAAGTTCTCTCAGAAGAAGCAAAACTTCAAATCTACACCTGAGGCTTGAGAAGATACAATTCTCATATTGTGATTTAGTTTTTGTATTTTTTCCCTCGTTTTACAACATTCCCTTTGCTTCACAATGCAACATTTGTTTTCGTTTTTCCTGAGTTTAAATTAATGATTTTTCTCTAAACCATCAAAGTGTATGTTCCTTCTTGTGCTACAGAACTGATGTTACTCAACACTTACAGTATTCTTTCCAAAAGATTATAGAAACTAAAGAAATCTACCCAAAAAGAAAAGCCAGTGTGAAGAAGAGTACATCAAAACAGAACCAGTTTCAAAGTATTACTATAGCTCAGATTTTCCGGATTTAGGCTTCTTTGAAGAAGAAGATTTAAGTCCTTTCCACCATCTCCGGACCCGGTTCGACACTTTCTGTGCATGTTTCTTTAGAACCTCACCTTTCTTCTTGATTTCCTTAGTGATTGTCTTTTTCCATTCTTCCTTTTTACTCTCTTTCTCATTTAAAACTTTTCCCTGAACCATAAAATGTTTTAGAGAAAAGATTGAAAGATTTTGTTTCTTTTTCTTCATGAAAGTTTAAGCCAAAGATCTGAAAAACAGAAACTTATTATGTTACCAAGTTCTTGGGAAACTT